TAATAATAAGATTTTCTTATGATACTACAAACAAAATATCACTCACTTACATACCTGTAAATTGCAGTGAGAACCGTAATGCTCTCGGGCAGAATGTTCTATGTTTCACGATATATGTTGCGCATATATGTTTAATCTTGTTAAACTTAAGTCCTGTGACGTCCTTGATTTGATATTAACACTTCCTAATACATAATACATGTGACGAATTGTTTCACAACTGACTGGCATGCAAAATAGTTGTAAAATTTGTATCTGTGGTGCATGTGATTTGTTCACTTGACGATATCTTGATGCAGGATTTAACCACATCTCTGGTATGTGATAGCCTTCAAATACATTATTATAGGTTTTGATTCAAGCTGGCCGATTGCCATTTAAGGTAGAGATGCAGTTTACCTGACAGATATTTTAATTAATTAATTAGAAAACCAAGATGACCTCCCTTGTCCACAAAACTATATATTTTCAGAAAGCTTATTTTATGAATTTTAAAAATGTTTTAGTATTTTTTGTATGGACACTGTAGTGTGAAATATGCACAAAAATGTTCTTTTTTGGTCAAAAGTGATTAAAAAAAAATAGATCCTAAACCATGCTTCTGTTTCCTGTCAAAATTGGTTTGTGGGTACATCTGTTTACTATGAAGAAAGTGCCATCTTGAAAACTGTCTACCAGTTGTCAATTTTGCATGGCAGCAGCCCAAATTTCACTACTTCAAGTTTATGCATGAATTAACACCCAGGCTAGTTGTATGTACGATTGTTGTAACACTGTTCGAGCAAAAGCAATGGCCGACGGCATTTTGAAGATAAACCCATTGTCAATCATTTGTGAAAATTTCAAAACAAAAGGTCAAAGCGTCTAGGAGCTATTTTTTTTAAAGTGAGATAATTGCTAATTTGCACAACAATTCACTCAGTAAGAACAGTTCCAAATTTAAATGTATTATCATTTTGGTAAAAGTTAAATATGGTACATAATATGGAGATCCCGTCATTTCTTTTTTTCACCATGTTTCTTTTTTTATTATTTATGTACAGCCTTGCTAAATCTTGCTAAGCATTCAAAAGAGAGAATGTTTGCACCTTTTATTTATATTTTAAAATCGTTTTTTGAGTATGTTCCACTATTCACAATTCTACACAATTATAACCGAGACTGTTTGGATAATAAAAAGCAAAATACAAATTTCACTCCCAAGTTTCCACAAACCTGCATCTCTACCTTAAGTTTTTTTTATATAAATTGTATGGGAATTTGGAAACGTCGTCACACTATTTGTACCAAACCAACATCACTTGCTATCATCTAATTTCACAAAATTCTTTCTTTTCACACACTATTTCTTTTGGGATGTCTGGTATTTAGCTCACAAATCATGAAACGTCACCGAAAAAGTACGAATTTGATAGTCATTTTCAATAACTAGTCATTTTATTTTTATAATGCATCATATAACCGAATGAGTTCAACCTAAGCTATTATTATTGTGCTTAACGTTTGTTTAAAATAGATTACCTGAGTCCAAAACACTGATTAGTGAATAATGACTTGAGATGACTTATTAGACCCCATATGACTAGGGTATGATTGTGTCGTTAATGTGCTGTAACAGTGTAACATTTCAATTGTCTTAATAGATACAGCTACATATGTGGAAACGGAATTGGATCTCAGCTATGGAAAACATAAATCTATAGATTTATCAAGACTTGGTCTGTATAAACACCTGAGGATTTTAAATCTGAGTGGTAACGGACTAACAATAGTACCACAAGAGATCGGGGAATGCCACGAATTACAGAAATTAAATCTATCGTTCAATAAGTTTGCGAAGATACCAGATTCATTGTGTGCATTAGAACAGTTGACAGAACTTTACATGGAATCTAATGCATTGACTGCTATACCAGATGAGATTAGTAAATTGAAGAATTTGAAGATATTGAATCTAAATAACAATAACATTGCGAAGATACCAGATTCATTGGGTGCATTAGAACAGTTGACAGACCTTAACATGGGGTTTAATGCATTGACTACTATACCATCAGGTAAGCCAAGATTGACCAATTAATAGAAGAGTATGAAAGTATTGTACCTGTGCCACAAACATATCGAGAAAATAACAAATTCTCTGTGCACATTAACAGTCGACAAAACTAAAAACTGATACTGATTCTATGAACATTGTTATAAACAAATACAAAGTGGTTTCAATGAATTTGTATTTACCGGTACAATGTAAATGGCACTTGCGTTACAGAATTATTTAATTCAAGAGTATTCTTATACGTTTGGAAAATGTTTAATTTTTTAAAACAGTTTTCTTATTTTTCATTCTACAAAAGTAATGTTGATACAAGTTCACTAGATAAAATCATGTCATTGTAATAATTGAAGAAAAGAAATAATTTTGTCCTCAAATATTCATTCACCCAGTTACTTATTTATCTCATCTGTGTGTCCCTAAAACAAACTTTCAGGCAAAATTAATGTTTTTTCTGAAATGTATAGGTCTGGTAGGTTTTAGCCATCATGTTCTGATTAGTTTTCTTTCTGTCCAGAATTTGTCTAGCAAAAGACTATCCTGCTACCTTAATGAGCATTCCAGGCTCAAGAACATTCACGTATTTTTAGGTAATGAGAGCTCATGCAAATGGTAACATATAGGTCAAAGGTCAAAATGTATATTCACGGACAATTATTAATCAAAATTTACTTAATCAAGATAATACAGAAATGAAGTGAGAAGGTTACATTATATTGTGAGCTTTATCGGGAATAGGCAAGTCACCCGAATAATCAAAATATAAATGTCAGTGTAAATACATTGAAACGATTAACTCACTGTGGTGACATTCACGTTTATATTGACTCAACTGAACAAGATCTTGGTTTTCTTTCTCATACAGTGTTCTAGTATTCTCATTTTGAAAACCAGTCATCAACATGAGATATGAAAGGGCCTTAGTTAACCTGTTTTCTTTAGATTTGCTCTATTTGCATACATGACTTTAGATAATTCACAAGAGCCAAGTGGTTTATTTTTTTGCTTTATTATTAACATAAATCAAATTAAACCACGTCGAAACAAAATGTCAGAATATTTGAAAAAAGAAATATAATAGTAGTTGTTTAAAATTTGTCAACTGTCATGGAATATCAAATCCTGCATTCTTTATATTTATCAGGAATAAAGAATTTAAAGCTGAGACTGTTACGACTGAATTACAATAAGTTAAAGGAATTTCCATGGCAGATTATTGAAGAATTGCCTTT